CCCTGCTCTGCCCACCTGAACTATCTTTAGCCCCCCTCTGGCAAGTGAATGGAAGTGCCTGACTTATATTCACTGCTGTCATCAACGCAACCAGTATTTTTAGGGGACGGCAGCAGCTGCAAAAGCATGTAACGGTATTCTCCGAACAATGACACACTGGGCGTCTCAGGCCTGAACAACACTGCGTGCGAGGAGCGACCGCATCAACAGGAAGCCGGCGTGGACGTGGACACACAACTTCACATTTTGCTGCTGACAGGATTTTTTTTTACGCGGAGCAGAGCCGGGGAGGAAGGAGCGCGCCCCCATGTGAAGGCAGCTCTGGGACGTTAGCTCGAGAGACGCCGCCGTCTGTCGCTTCTCAACTTGAAGCCAGAGTTGCCAGTACGGAATGTATGTTGACGGTCGTTCCTGGCGACTGAAGCGGGGTAGGTCATATGAGGGGTGCGCGGCACAGCTTCACGAGGGGTCAGAGGTCATTCCAATTAAATCAGACGGGTAAACACAAAGGTTAATCTCTTCTCTTTAAACCTCCAGAGGGAACGTTCGACAGTCTCTCAACACATCCACCAATCAGGGCTCAGTAAACAGCTGGAGATGAACAGGTTTCCAGGTGACAGTCAACGTTCTCGGAAAACTTTCTTTGTTTTAAATTTAACTTTTATATTTAATAATCATTTGTGATTGGTCAGGATCAGTTTAAATTAAATTATTACAAAATAGATTTAACTTTTACAGGTAGGTTATAAATGTGTCGGGTATTGTAGTATTCTGTTCAGTAAATACTTTAGGGAAGTAGATTTATGAGGGAGTAAATATTTTATACATGATTTAAATTTTTATAAAATCAAAAAATGTATATTTCTATCTGAAATTGTTTCAAACAAAAACTGACTAATATAAAAAATACATATATTTGAATTTGCAAGTTTTTTTTTACAGTAAAAAAAGTTGAGAAACATTTTCTAAAAAGTGATTTTGAACAAACGTCTGACTGACGTCAAAGGAGAGAATTATTTATCAGTGGTGTCAACATAGGAATGATGGGGGGGTAAAACTGGGGGGCGGGGGGCAGACCGTGATTTGCGCCAGTGTTTGTGTGAGCGTGCAGCTTTAGGGCTGTCTTTGTGATACCCGACACACACACACACCCCCCGCCCCCCCTCACAGATCTTTATTTAGGACATGCTATATTAAACACTTTCCCATTGAAATACAGCACCAGCTGAACTGCTGATGTGTTGTGGCTGCTGTTGCAACAGCTCAGTCTGACCAATCACAGCGAAGCACGGAAGACGGATCTGATTCAATTAGTGCTAATAATCACAGCGTTCATTAGTTGTTGAAGAGGGAAGTAATTAAATATCTTCGCAGATATATTTACGTATATATTTACGTATATATATACATAGTGTTACACTGTTACCTCTAACTAATAGCCTAATATTTAGACTTGTTTTATATATAAATAAATCCTGGCTGTATTTTTTCAGGAAACTTCTGGTGCGTCCTGCTCCTCACGGTGGCCAGGACGCGTATATATATACATAGTGTTACACTGTTACCTCTAACTAATAGCCTAATATTTAGACTTGTTTTATATATAAATAAGGGGTTCAACTTTAGTGTTTAGTTGATGATGTCACTGTGACACCTTTACACAGTACTGTTTACATTAAGCTGATAATACTCGTGGTATTGCAGTATAAGGATGTACTCGTTTCTCTTGTAGAAATTTGCAGTAAAGAAGTCGGAGCCTCTTAGCCCCTGAAGTGACACGTGGACGTGTGAAGACACAACGCCAACGATGGACGTGTTTGGTGGCGCGCCACGTTTCTTGGCCTACCCAAGACCCGTAGTGGCGCAGAGCGGAACCGACGCCGTCCTGAAATGTCAGATCGGCGGCGATCCGCGGCCCGCCGTTATCTGGGAACGAAGTAATGAAAAGATTGACCCGCAGGGACGATACAGGGTGTTTGAGGACGGGAACGTTTACAACCTGATCATCACCGCTGTGACTGTGGATGACAGCGGACAGTACATCTGTAAGGCAAAGAACTGCATCGGGGAAACCTACGCGGCGGCCACTCTGAATGTGGAAGGCGAGGCCCAGGAGCTGGAGCTACGAGAAGAAAACATGCCACGGTTTCTCATCAAACCCCTGTCCACCCGCGTGGGTCGTGGGGAGGACGCCGTCTTCTCTTGTAAACTGTGGGGAAACCCCAGACCGGAGGTCGTCTGGGAGAAGGACGGCAAAAAACTCAACGAAATATTTGAAAGCACTCACTTCAGCGTGGGCTGCCAGGACGGGGGGTGGTTCCAGCTCAAGATCTTTAAGACGCGTGCACCTGATGGCGGCGTCTACACCTGCAAGGCCAGGAACGAGTTCGGGCAAGACCTGGCAGGAGCCGTGCTGCTGGTCGACGCGGGACCGGGACACGAGGACGAGGGGAATCGTAACGGCTTCACAAACGGCCACTGGAAAGGACACCAGGGGAAACAGAGGAGACACGTGTCCAACAGACATAAGGACGACAACATTACCAAGTCCACAAAGGTGAAAATGTTTGCGGTGACAGAAGGCAAACACGCCAAATTCCGTTGCTTCGTGACTGGTAAACCCAAACCAGAAATCATTTGGAGGAAAGACGGCAGGTTGATTTTGTCGGGGAGACGTTACCTGTTGTACGAGGACAGAGAAGGATACTTCACACTCAAAGTCCTGTACTGCAAACAGAAGGACAACGGCGTCTATGTCTGCGCTGCATCTAATACGGCGGGACAAACCCTCAGCGCCGTCCACCTCTCTGTGAAGGGTAAGTGACCCACACTGACCAAACTGTACTGTATCTGGATGGATTTTACTACATGTCCAGACACTGTGTGACAAAGAGTTTGATTATAGAAAAAAAACAAACATCGTACACAGGATATACAGTTATTTACACACAATGTGGGGAAAAAGTTTTCATTTCACTGAATCAATGAGGTCTTTAAATCCCATCCCAGCATTTCATTTCACTGAATCAATGAGGTCTTTGAATCCCATCATCGATTCCCAGCATATGTTTGTTGAGGTTTCAACCTCTGGTCAGCGGCCCCAGCTTACGTCAGAGCATCTTGATCTTGACAGTCAGTCAGTCTACGATTGACAGTCTGACTGACACAACACTCAGATGGATTGTTCAGGACTGTAGACTGATTAAACGTTAAAAAAAGTCTTGTGAGATAAAAATATTTCATCACGTTAAAATGACAGCGTACTGTTAAATTACTACGAACAACAACCTGCTTCTAGAGTCGTGTTGTGTTTTCAATTCTATTCTGAGTCTTTATTGTCATTGTAGTCCAACATGTCAAAACAATATGTCAATGTTCTGCTGTAGTGAGTATAGATCACGTGAGAATGCTAAATGTTAGCCAGGAGAGGGCAGCAGGAGGGGATGGGATTAAATAGGATTAAGTCTAAATTCAGCCTGGGTTTTTCTTTTTTTTCTTTTTTTACTGAGTAAAGGATCAAATTTCTATTTCTTTGACGTAAACATGATGTAAGACTAAGATTTTCTGAAAGCTGGACCGAGGTGTGAAATCATTACAAGTGAATCTGGGTTTGTTTTAGTCAACGTTTGAATTTGCGGCCGTTGCATCAGTCGGTCCGACTGAACATGTGCTGCGTTTGGAGAAACTCAATCTCAGGTCGACTCTGACTGTGAAGGTAAATGAAATGTATAAGTGATGTGAAATTGAACCCTGGAGAAATGTAAACTGGCGGCGCTCTTCGGCCTGAGTGGATTCCTTCAGGAGTGACACGTCTGCAGCCACTCATCACACCAGTCCATGTGATCTAAGAGGGTGGGGGGGGAGGGCAGTGTCTCCCATGTGTTATTTAAGCATCCAAATCAAGTACTATATTTTATAGCAACTCTATACGAAGTGAAACTCTGTTGGGTTCTGTCTTAAATTAGATGTGCCGGATTGATGAGGGTTAATATGCAGTGAATTAAAATGTGTTTTTGTGTTTAATTAAAGCTGTCAAAACAAAACAATAGGAACATTAGAAACCTTGCCGTGAGGGGCTCCCTGGGGGAGTCACCGTTCTGCAGCCACTCATCACACCAGTCCATGTGATCTAAGAGGGTGGGGGGGGAGGGCAGTGTCTCCCATGTGTTATTTAAGCATCCAAATCAAGTACTATATTTTATAGCAACTCTATACGAAGTGAAACTCTGTTGGGTTCTGTCTTAAATTAGATGTGCCGGATTGATGAGGGTTAATATGCAGTGAATTCAAATGTGTTTTTGTGTTTAATTAAAGCTGTCAAAACAAAACAATAGGAACATTAGAAACCTTTGCACATAAAAACTATATATAGATGACGTCCTCCTGTGTCCAACTGTCTGACGGTGTCAGTTACAAACAGTTTATTTCCTGTCTAACGCCTCGATGTGTTAATGACCTTCCCATTCCTCCACTGAATACGTTTCTTGTCCCATGATTTCTCTCTGAATCACCTGCCGAATGTGGAATATTCCAGTTCACAGCTTCGACACCGGGGGCTGCGTTGAGTTCATCTGTGAACTGACAATAACACACTTCAAAGCAACACACATGTGACTGTTTGTTTAGTTGTTCTGCCGAGTCGGCTGTTCTATTGGCTGAACCGTGTCCTGCCCTTCTTCTTGACCCCAGAGCCACCTGTGCGGTTTAAACAACCTCTTATCGATCTCGAGGTATGGGAACGAGATTTGGCCGTTCTCGAGTGTGAAGTTCCAGAAGACTCAGTTCCCATCACGTGGTATTTGGAAGACAGGCGGTTGCAGCCAGGGGCCAAATATGGAATGGAGGAGTGGGGAACAAAAAGGCGATTAACGATCCGTGACATCGGGGTTGATGACGATGGGATTTATCTCTGTGAAATGCCTGATGGTGGGAGGAGCATCGCGGAGGTGGCGGTAAAAGGTAACGAAGAAGCCTAAATTTTTACCAGAAGTGTTGAAGAACTAATTGTAGCTCAGGTTGATTATGTTGCTGTCTGTTGGCAGGTACGATATTGCGGAAGCTTCCGAGAAAGGTCGATGTCTTGGAGGGTGAAAACGCTGCGTTCTGTGTTGAAGTGGAAAAAGAAGAGATGGACGTTCACTGGTACAAAGAAGGAATGGAACTGAGGGAAACCCATCAGACCATTATTAAGTCTTTTGGTCGAACTCACATTCTGGTTTTTGTGAATACCATGCCCCAAGATGCTGGTGTTGTGACTTTCCTCGTCGGCAGATCCAAGACTTCCTCTCAGTTACGAGTGAAAGGTAGGAAATCACATCAGCCTGATTCCAGGACGTCATGATTGATGGTTGCTTTTGGCAGTGATCAACATTTACTGTTTTATACTTCATGCTGGTTTTGGTTTTTTGGTTTCAGCTGCCAGACATTGTCCACCCAGCTGTCCAGTTGCCGTGCAGATCAACACAGAACGTGCAAACGCTGCACTTTTATCATGGGTTCCTCCTCAGGACACCCGGAAAAATCCTCCTTCAGGATATGTGCTCGAACGACAGGAAATGGGCACCGGTTCACAGGAATGGCTGCAGTGCCTGACCACCGACACCGCGACTTCTGTGGAAATCCTAGGTGATAGCGTGCCATGTGAAGCTGATTATCGATTTCGAATTTGCAGCGTGAACAAATACGGAAAAAGCAACAATGTGGAGTTCCCCAAAGCAGTCCACTTGGGTAACTGTAGTTCAAATGAAGAAGAAAATATTTTTAAACAGTGAACGTCACTGCAACCTGAGTTCTGCTGTGTCTCTTTTTTCAGTTCCAGTGGCCAGAATCCAAGCCCCCTTACAGGATGCCCTGGTGCCCGAGGGACAAGATGCCGTCTTCTCAATTGAACTCTCTGCTTCTGTTATTGGAACATGGTTCTTGAACGGTACTCAACTTCAGGAGGACGAACGTTTTTCCATGCGTCGCTCTCGCACGCACCAGTCTCTTCGCATTCGAGGTGTACGTGACAAAGACAACGGGGCTGAAATCACATTCATTGCTTATGGAATCCGTGATTCTGCGGCAATGTACATTCAAGGTAAGTGTGAGTCACTCAAAGGGTTTGCTCCAACATCTGAAAATGGACTTTCTCATTGGAGATGCAATTTGGTAAGGCAACGGTTTTGGATTTTCATTTTCCTGTTTGCAGCACCTCTTGTCAAATTTTCCCCAATGTCTGAGATGGATCGGAACAAGTTTGTAGAAATCGGAAACCCCATCGTGCTCTACTGTGAGCTGTCTGACCCAGCTGCACCAGTGCACTGGTACAAGAATGGGGTTGAACTGCACACAGTGGAAGGCCTTCATATCCAGTCGGAGGGCACCATGAGGAGGATTGTTATCCAGTCGTCAGAGATGTCACACTCGGGAGTATACTGCTGTGACGCCATTGATGATGTCATCAGGTTCAACGTGGAAGTAGAAGGTAAGTGGATTAACCTTATTATGATACTGTTGTGTTTGACCCCGACTAACCAGAGTTATTTATGTTCCACACTGCATTTTATTATGAACAATTGTTCCCTGTTTAAAAGTTTGAATTATTTATGAGGGTAAGTCAAAAAGAACTGACAGAAGAAGACAGTTTTACTGAACTGAAGATAAGTCCTTTGCTGTAGAATTCTGGAGGATGACCTTTGACACCAGGTCGCAATCTCTTTCAAATGATCAAATGTCAAATGTGTTCTTAAATTTTAAGTCTGGTTAAAAATGTGATGTTTGCTTCCATTTGCGAATGCTTCATTTTTTTAAGGGTTCATTAACAATCTGGTCAAATCAAAGGTCACAAAGCTCAACACTGGACCAGTCTGAACCAGTCTCAGTTCCTTCTTGACTCGCCCTCATAAATACGTGTTCACCCTTTTACTACTGATTGAACTATACAAATATCCATAGCTCCACCTGTGAGGTTCTCAGCACTGCCAGATGCTGCGAGGAACATTACCATCTACACAGGCTGCACAATTCTTTTACAATGTGAGCTCTCAGACTCCATTGCCCAGGTGCACTGGTACAAAGATGGTTCAAAGCTCCATCCACAGAATGGAGTAGATATTCTCAGTGATGGCTTGAAAAGACAACTCGTTGTGCAATCAGCAGAGTTTTTCCACTCTGGCTCATACTGCTGCAAGACCAAGGGTGACAGCATCACATTCAGTGTGAACATCCAAGGTGATTTCGCTTTATGTAATGTGAGATTTTAATCCCCTCCTCTCCTGCACAGATACTAACTTGTACGTTCTTTGCTGCCTCCATTAAACTGCACATGTAAACGTTAGTATACTTGGGTACAAAGTACTGTTTATGATGAATAATATACATGTGGCTGGTGTGAGGTTCAACTGAGGTTTGACATCGGCTCTAAACATGTCTGTAGCTCCACCTGTGAAGTTCTCCGCAATTACTGAAGAGATGAGGAGCCAGTCCATTGTAGCGGGGTGCCCCCTAGTGCTACGGTGCGTGGTGTCAGATCCAGAGGCCCACGTTTCCTGGTGCAAAGAAGAAATGCAGCTTGTTTCAAACGCCACAATAGAGTTGCACTCAGAGGGCAACACCAGGACATTAGTGGTTCAGTCTGCAGAGCCGTGTCACTCTGGCGTGTACAGATGCACCACACAGGATGATTCCGTGGAGTTTCACGTGGAGATTAAAGGTGACTCTACACTCTTTATCTTCTGCTTTCATGACGTAACCTCACTCCCTCTTTGTAAATGCCACTAATAATCCCCCGCTTCTACTCTGTGTGTGGTTTGAAAGACCGCTCCATGCACATAAGCTGAAAGAACTGTTAACACACCAGGTGATTATACTAGTCCTGAACATTGCTTGGTAACTGCTGTGGCTCTCCCTGAAGTGAAAGTCTCCCAAACGCTTTCATCTTCTGATCTGCAGTAACACTTCTGTAAGGTATCCATTTCCACAGACTTGATTTTATTTAGCTGTCCTGAATTCTCAATGCTAGCTTTACCAGTGACGTACTCTACTATCTTTGACGTTGAGAGAAGCAAGTCACTCGAAGAGGGCAAACCTCTGGAGCTGGAATGTGACGTTGCGGACACCACTTTACCCGTGCACTGGTACAAAGACGGTGTAAGGCTCTTCCCACAGAATGGTTGGGATATGCAAAGTGTGGGCACATTGAGAAGACTTGTTATACCATCTGCTGAGCTCTTGCATTCAGGGTTTTACAGCTGTGAAACCCCTGATGATACCGTCCACTTCCCTGTGGATATTAAAGGTGACACTAATTCAAATACTACAAAGTCCAGGAGACTACATACTACCATATTATTTAACCATATATATAAATATATGTGTGTCTGTTTTTTGTGTTACCGTGTGACAAATTTGTTTGGAAGAAATAATCTGCTAACAACTATACAGAAGTGGTAAAAATGTGAACTTTTCAGTGTGAAACAAAACTGATTTGTTTCCGTTTGGGAAACAAGTATCAGTTTCTTCCAGTAACCAATCCAAATAAACACTGTCTCATGATATGAATCATCATCTTTAGCTCCGACGTTGCCATTGCCGTTGACTCCGTCACCCACACCGACACAAGAAGCTGCAGAGACGCAGTTACTTGAGACAACCTGTGCTACCGAACCATCACGTGAAACCTTAGACGCTGTTGACCCGATGTCATGGCAGAGGGATAATGAACACGATTCTATTAGAGAGTTTGATTATGACGTGGGTGACCTCGAGAACGACCTTGTAGTTGAACCGACCCATCTTTCAAATACTGGAGCATACTACTGTGCAACAGCGGATGATGTTGCTGAATTGATAGAACAAAGTGATCAAGGTGATTGTTTTGTTTTTTTTTGCTAGTTATCACAAATTCCTAATGTAGATGCTATTCTTTTTTACTTACTGCTGCTCTTACACAAAACTGCTAAATGTGACTAAATCTTTTTTAAGTCGCTGTTGTACTATTTAGTCTAACACAGACTGAAATTATGCCCCCGATTAATTGTAGTGCCACCTGCAGCACAATTGCTTGGTGCTGATGTTGAGAAGACCAGGTCTGACGACGAGTACGGCCCAATTGTTCGGCAGTTTGAGATTTCAGATCCAATTGCAAAAGCCTGTTGGTACAAAGATGGAACGCAGATCTACCCAAAGAAGGAACTTGGCAGTGAATCACAAAGCAGCAGCAACAGCAGCAGCAGCAGCAGCGAGTTCTTGGCCCAACAGTCACCTGACTTGTCTGGTGAAAGGAGTGAAATTTGGGCTGACAGTCAGGCAGTTATGGACGTGAAAGGTGGTTTCCGCAATATTTCAGCACTCATGTCATTTCTGCTGCATACGTGAAGCTGTCACCAAGCTTATTGTGTTTTCTTTGGCTTTGTCCAAACAGCAGAGCAGTGTCACTATGGTGATGAGAATGCTGTGATAGCTGAAGCATCTGCCCAATACACTGTGGATGTCAAAGGTGATTTAATATATTTCATCATCAGTCATCCATTTTAACCCAGCTCATAAATGCCACTAACAGCAGTGGTGAATTTATTATTAGTCCAATCATTTCAGGCATCTGCAGTATTTTATTTTCTCCCATTAGCAAACTGATTTCTCAACCATAGTTTCATGTCATGTCCTGCAGTTCGGCTCATAATGAAATATAAGGGTGTGTTGTAGCACAGTCCTCACACTAATATAAATGTTGTGTTTGTCGGTTTACTCTTCATTTTAACAGCCATCTTTGCTTGAAACAGTCGCCTCGTAACTCTTTAAGTCCATCTCATATCTGATCCATCACCAAATCACTTTCACATTCCTTCTCTGAAACTTTGCCCGTTGCAATGACAACCCAGTCTTAGCAGAAAGAAGGACATTAATTCACTTTAGGATTTTAAGGTGTTGGGGTCACAGATTGATGGTAAACGATCTAAGGAGTCAGATGATATGGGGGCAACACTTGTAGGAGCTCAGTGTCAGACCAAACCTGGTCAACCTTCTTGTTTGTCTTTGCAATGGATTACCACATAACTCCATTCTAACTCACACTGATGCAATTCTGTTATGAGAAGACATTTTGAGACATCAACCACTGAAAACCTTTCTCTGTGTACATCACAATGCTTATAGCTACGTCGCCAAGGCTCTCGTCCAACCAAGAGAAGAAATCCAGCCAAGAGGCCTATCGTTATGAAGTGACGTGCATGCCTTCAAGATGCAATTCTGGCATCTTCAGTAGCAGGACAAGAGATTCTAAGACTTATGAAGACCTTTACAGGCGTAGTCCATCTTCGCAATCACCGACCAACCTAATCCAAACTGAAGAGCCGGAGGATTTCACTGACAATGAAACAATAAACAGAGAATCTCCAGATTACTGTAGCTCTGCAAAGCCAACTATAGTCCAATCCGAAACACAACATCACATTCCACAGTTTAAAGAATCACAAGGTGAGGATTTAATGAACACTACACAGCATGCTGAAGGTCCACCAGAGGAGTCTGAGCCAGGCCTGCAGCCGGGCGACATTTTGGACGATAAGTTTGGTGATTGTCTAAAAACTGCAGCTACTGAATCTAAGGTGCAGCTTAGGTCGACCCACATGTCAACAGTCCAGTCCGGGGTAGAAAGTCTTGTACAGATTTCACCCCCCGAGTCTCCAGAAAGTGACACTCACCCATGTCCGATTTTTTCAATAACCAAATCAGATGAACTGTACACTCCTGTACACCAGGCAGACTTTCTTGGATCTAAAAAGCGCTTTACTCTCTCAAATACTTCTACTTTAAAAACAAGTGAGCAACACACAGCCTCCCCCACTGACCCTGCCCAATCAACGGAGTCGTACACATCCCCTCATGTTACAGCAGTCCCGTCAGAAAACTTTTGTACCTCTACGAATTTTTCAACAGAGGAACCAAAAGCTTCTTCACGCGTCACCTTTGTTCAGTTAGACTCATCTTCCTCGTTAAATCTGTCTCACACCCAATCAGAGAAGCCCTTTTCATCTGTACATGTTAAAACTGTCCAAACACAAAACGCTGAAATCGTCAAATCAAAGGAGCATTTTACACCAGGGAATGTTGAGATTATCGAATCCGAAGAGGCTTTTGCATCCCCGCATGCTGTCCAATCAGAAGAGACCTCTGTATCTTCACACGTTGCAGCTGTCCAATCAGAAGAGACCTCTGTATTCTCACATGTTGCAGTTGTCCAATCCAAGGGTCCTTTTGCGTTCTCACATTCTGTAACTGTCCAGTCGGAGGACACCTTTGCATCCTCACATGATGCAGCTGCCCAATCGGAGGATTGCTTTGTATCCTCCAATGTCACCGCAGTTAAATCAGGGGAACACTTTGCATGTGTCCAACAGAATGAGTCTCTCGTGTCTTTCCATGATCCAAACGTCCTGTCAGAAGAACCCTCTACCTTCATACATAAGGCCTCAGTCCAATCAGAAGTCCTCGGTACGTCTCCCACGGTCCCAACAATAGAACCTTTGTCTACCGTACACGCTACTACCCAATCAGATGAGCACTCACATACCGTAGCTGTCCAAGAAGAGTTCTGTCCATGTCCAAGTACTGAACCTTATCAAACAGAAAGAAACATTATTCATACAACAACAGTCCAATTAGAGGAACATTTAAAATCCTCACGTAGTTTGACTGTCCAATCAAATGAGCCGTGTTTATCCTTTAATCATCAAGTAGTAACGACAGAGGAGCTCGCTAATTTTGTGCAGATGCCAACTGTTGTGTCAAAGAACGTTGTAAATTACTTTCAAACTGAAACTGTTCCTCCAGAGTTCTTCTCCGCCCTTCGGACTCCAGCATCTCAGCCAGACGAGTTAAGCCGACCCTCACTGGCATCAAACGACCAATCCAGAGAGTCGAAGCGAGCCCTTCAGACCTTATCTGATTGGTCAGAGATGTGTGACGCTGCCCCTGAGACCACATCTCCTTTATTACCGGACACATGTGTTTCTGAAAAGATGAGTTGTGTCAGACTGGAGGACCAGGTTGTCAGACTGGAGGACCTGCATCAGGTATCTGATCGTTCAGAGGAGATGTTTGCATCGACGCAGGTTCCAACCAAACAAAAAGAGCCCCTAACAATGGATCGCAAGGAAGACCAATCAGACGGCTCTGGGCAGAGGTCATCTGAGTCTGCAGAGCCCCAACATGCCAAGCAAGGCTCGACCGCCCAATCAGAAGAGATGTATCTATCGACGACATGTCACAGTCACTGGATCGACAGTTTCACTGCAAATAAGGTGGCTGTTGAAGGTGATTTTAATGGTTAGCATTATAAGACAACATGGATGGGCACAATGTTGACATTGTGTAAAATGAAGAGATTTTATATTTTTCTTTACATTTCTTGATATCTTGGGGATTCGTGGTTTCTCTTTTATAAATTAGATACTGTTCAAACTAAAACTAGTAGAACATTGAGCCTTGGTATTATGGTGGGAATTAAAAAAAAATGGAAAAACTTAAAATCCTAACTTGAATGTCTGGGTATCTGTTGTTTAACTCAAGATACCTCTGGATATATCACTAATAACAAAATATAGGTTTATATCAACAGTGACTTCTTTAACTTTAGACTTTTGGCATGACTAATATAAATGTGATCAATGCTCCTCTATTGTTTACACGCATCATTTTTAGTCAGTCATAGTGATGCAATGTTTTCTCGATGTTACCTCAAACTTCCCCAGCTCTGCCGGTGACAATTACAACTGTGGGTGAGGCTGAGAGGAACAAGTCTGTTGAACCTGGTGAACCCATAGCACTGCGCTGTGAGATATCAGATCCTAATGCTCGAGTAACTTGGTACAAGGATGGAATTGAACTACTCGAGTCTGCCGGCCGAGAAATGGTGGCAGAGGGTTCAGTCAGGACGCTGGCCGTGCAGTCAGCCATGTCTTCAGATGCAGGGATTTACAGCTGCCAGACAACAGATGATGCAGCGCAGTTTCATGTGGACGTTAAAGGTGACAAAAAGAACTCTTCACTTTTTCCACAAAGAGATTTCAAATAGAATGACCTGGAATAGACACAACATCTTGTCTTTGTAACGATAACATGCTTAATAACAATCTTGTCTTTGTAACGATAACATGCTTATAACAACGTAAACCATGCGAGTCCAGAGAGTCCAAACTAAACATTAGCTTCTCCGTACATGTCTCATGACGTATTTACCACCCAAGAAATATGACATTCGACATCTCAACCTGTGTTCTCTAAGAACGTTGACACAAATACTGTGTATATTCCAGGGCGTATTTTTGAATCTTTTGGTCCCTACAGCGATCACATATCAAAGTAACAAACAACAGGTCGATTCGAGGCAGCTGGGGGGTGTATAATATACGTCTTCATATAAGTAAACTACACCAGTTGTACGAAAAACAGCACTAGAAAAAGTTTTGTGAATAAACTTGCTTCGACTAAACTTTTGTTTTTATCCTAACGACTATTTGTTTTCAAAAATTACACAACAGTAAAACAAAGCAGAACATTTTGTCCAGTCAGTTCCACTTCTGACCAGTTCTCTGTCGTATTTGACTCCGTAGCTCCACCCCTGAAGTGCTCAGCTGTGTCTGAGGGTGACCGCAAAGAGACAGTGATGGTGGACACTCCTATTGCCCTACAGTGTGAGACGTCTAAGCCCACTGAGCCCACTGAACAAGTCAGTCGGGTGGAGGGCGGGACACAGCTCCTCCCTCAGAGTGAAGTAGACTTCCCTTCAGAGGAAAGTCTGAGGACTCTAGTTGTCCCGTCTGTCACTCAGACTCACGTCGATGAGCAACGATGTGAGTTACATTCTTCTGACGCCGAGTTTGCTGTGAGAGTAGAAAGCGATGCTCAGACGCTTCCTTGTGCTTTTGCTGCCTTGCGCTGGCGACTAACTGCTGAGTCAGTTGGGTTAACAGTCAGCTTTTTTCTAATCACCTTAACAAAGTTTTCAAAAATGTAAGTAAGAAATAGAAACCTCTTCGTGACTTTTCTTTGACTTGTCCAAACGTACTACCAAACATTCTGCGTAACAAAGCAGCTTCTTAGTCTGCATGTAAATAATGTTCTTTTTCTTTAATGAAGACAAAAATTCTATCCTCACACCCTCCCCCCAGAAAATCTAGATTGTGAGTTGATTTAGTCTTATTGCATTTTAATTGTATGAACCTTAGATGCAAAATGTAGTGTTTTTTTGGTGTATATGTGTTTGTTATGTCAAAATGATAAAGTATCATGATAGTCATATGTATTGTCTAATGTTCATGTGATGAAACTTTGTTTTTGTTATATGTGTTGTTTTAATTATGAGTCTCTTTCTAAGTGAATACACATTCATTTAATTCACTTAGGAAAAACAATCTTATCTAGAAACTCTTACAATATCTTGACTTTGTAGCGGTACCTGTGAAGTTCTCAGAGCTTCAAGAGAATGACAGGAAGAAAAACATCCGACAGGGCGACGCCATCGTCCTCAGCTGTACGCTCACTCACGAACCCTCCGCTCACGTGCACTGGTATAAGGATGGAGTGGAACTCCTGCCACAAATCAATCTAGAAATACAGTCGGATGGTCTCACCAGGAGGCTAGTCATCCAATCGGCTGAGACCAAACACAGTGGCACCTACGAATGTTCGACGTCTGACGACGCGGTCACATTTAAAGTGGACGTAAAAGGTGATTTGTTTGTATTTTTACTCTGTTCTTACTGCCAGCACACCACACCCAGCTTGTCCAACACTGCACCTGGTTCTGAATGTTCACGAGAACGTGAATTTGATTGGCTGGGCAGTGCCCGCTGTCCACTCTTATGCACAACCTATGCTATTTTCTTCTCTCAGGACCATCGCCCCAGATTTTACCAATCCCACTGTCGGAACAATGCAAGAGGTTTGGAGTGGGTTTACCAATAATCCTCCAGTGTGAGGTCTCAGAGGACGCGGCACAGGTTTCATGGTTCAAAGACGTGGTGGAACTTTTCTGCAGAACAGGCCTCGATATGAAAAGAGACGGCAGATTAAGGAAGTTAATCATTCACTCTGCCAAGGTCTCAGATTCAGGCCTTTACACCTGCAGTCTCGCCAATGATGCTGTGACATTCCACGTGGATGTTGAAGGTGATTGGCTTGTATTATTTGAAGACCTTTCAGGTGGAAGAACACAAAATTTAAGCCTTTGTGCCCTAAAAAAAAAAAAAATCAAACTCCCATTTCAATTGCCTGCAGTGCAAAAGCACGACATGTCGAGCGTAGCTGCAGCCTAACGATGCTGTCCTGCGTTGCTCTTATAATTCAGCTCCTCCTGTGGGATTCTCAGCGCCCCAAGAAATTACAGCAAACACATTTGATGAGGAAGGCTCCCCAGTGAGGCTGAGCTATGACGGGTCACATCCTGGTGACCACGTCCATTGGCAAAAGGACGGAGAAAAGCCACTGGCCCAGAGTCAGAATGAAATTGAAAAAAGAGCCAAGCTAAGCGCTTTTGTCAGTGAAGCAGCAGAGCTCACACCCTCTGGGGCACACAGCTGTGAGGCCTCAGGTGACCAAATAGAATTTAAGGTGGATGTTGCAGGTGATTTAAGTATTTTGAGATTTGTCAGAATAACTAACTTCTCAATAATCAACAGTTGACCATTAGAACAACTTCCCTGATTTTCAGTGAATAGTCGTACTAATAATTATGAACTTCGACTGACAAGTAACATGGCAGACACTAGTTCCACTCTGTTTTGTGTAGAAAAACTGCATGACCGCGTGCCCTGCTACTGCCAGTACTTGAATGATTACTATGGTGAATATGGTACTTGCTTGGCTAGCATTCAGCAGGTGAAGACATTCTTTCATTTGGGTTTGCTAACAAAACCAAAACAGAACAAAATGTCTTCATAGGATTTAAACCAAAACAATATTCTAAATGATTTTCTCTTTGAATTCTGTTTCAGACAGTTTTAAAATATGGTTCAAACACTTGACAGAATCTAACTTTAGTGAAAATAGGCCAGTGTTGTGATTTTGTTTCATTTATACAAATGTATAAACTCAAAGGCAGAAGTGTTACTCTACTGAATTGGTGATTTTAAATTATTACTGTACATCTTCTGTTTTTTACAACTAACGCTCAACTAAATGCACATTTCAGAAAGTTGCAAATTGTTAACTTGACTGCATTCTGTTGAAAAGTATCTAAAAGGTCATTTGAAAAATGTTATTAACCAGATTATCTAACATTGTACACCAGTGGCATTTGCTCTAAGACAACAAGGGAATCTCATCTTGAAGGAAATGGTCAAATATCTACTGTCGTATTTATATTAAACTGACTAGAGTGAGTTCAAATCTGAACTTCATGACTAGACCGTTATCACTGCCGAGTGGAGCGTATTAAACCCTGTTGAAGCTCAGCTTCAGTAGGGCAGCACTGGTTAGCATTTTCACTGCTCAGACTAGATGGTCGTAGGGACAAAAAAGTCACTTTCACAGAAGATGGGCTCCCCCTAGAGTCTATATGCAGTCGCCGACTTTTGTAAAATACTGTTGCCTGTAGCTTGTAGATAGAGACATTCACTTATGCATATGGTACGTACCAGCAATACAATCTTTAACATTCTCAACATTTAGTTTCGTAGAATTTTGTGTTTCTTGGTTCTAGTTTTAAACTAAAATGAGCTCCCCCTGTGTCACGGACCAGCAACCACCACTGTTGTACTGCTGTAGACACAAACCCTGTCACACTTAACAGTTTAAACTGAGGCTAACAGCAAGGTATGGCTTAGCAGGTTTGATCAATGACTGTTTGGTGTTTTATTTTAAGTGAAATATCTGTAGCGTCAATGTGATTCTCAGCTGTTCCAGAGGCTGAGGAGAACATGTGTGTCGAAGCAGGCAGCCTGAACAAACCACCAACACCAGACGCGGCACACCACACTCGCTCCTATGAGGATGGAGTAAATATCTTGGCAAAATTGGGAGTAGAGACTGATTCAGATTGCAGTGAGAGGACACTGGTTGCAAAGTCAGCCACATCTTCATACTCGGAGATGTACAGCTGTAAATCTAATGGCCAATCAGATTTCAGCGGTATCTGTGAGGAGGTGAAAGGTGACACGCTAAGCTTTTCTCTCTCAAGAGTCCAAAAACCTCTTCAATCATCTCATCTAAACTCTTTCTCCATGTGCAAACTTCATTAGCCGTTTTCCGTACTCATGCTTCATGTGAAGAAAAATTATTTGTGAAAATTAGCATGTACTTAAATTTGAGCTTTCGCCATTTTCCCAGCCAATGAATTTGCTTTTCATCACTGCATTGCTTCCATTAACGTCTTTTGCTCATTCCATTCACAAGGAGCTGTCAACTAGACTGAGATCAGCATGTCTGAGCTGTAACACCCAGACCTCACAGCCACTGAACGCATGGGTGTGAGCCTTTCAACGCTGCCGTCAAACAACAGCTAACACTCTTTTTGTCTTGTTTTTGCAGCACTGCCATTAACATTTGTCGATATCCCAGAAAAGGACCTTTTCACCAGTGTTGTGGAAAAAGAACAATTTGTTCTGTCGTGCGAAGTGTCGAGAGCTGACGGTGTTGTCCAGTGGTACAAGGACGGATTGGAAATGCAACCAAGCATCAACGTTAAAATGGATGCTGAGGGAACCAAAAGGACTTTGACTGTAGTTTCGACCAAACTGTCAGACAATGGCACGTACACCTGCCGCGCAGGAGACAACGTTTTACTCTTCAAGGTTACCATTCGAGGTAATGATGAGATCAACCGCATCATCAACCGGTCTCCTTAAATATGCTAAACACATAATCTAATCATCTTAAAACTTAAAACCTTCTTCTCTCCGTCCAAAGAGCCTGCTGTGAAGATTATCTACCCCAAGGAAGATGTCCACCTCGACCGTCACGTGTCAGATGAAATTATCCTCAGTTGTGAACTATCCCGGGCCAGTGGTGTCGTCTGCTGGTACAAAGACGGCCAGAAGCTGCAGAACAGCGAGAACATCAAGCTCAAGGCTGAAGGCCCCTATCGACGGCTCAGGATTCTGTCGAGTAGAGTGGAGGATTCTGGGGAATATGTGTGTGATACAGATGACGACTCCATATTCTTTCACCTCAGTATCACAGGTAAACATCCTGGTACTCAAGAGTTGTTACTTTCTTATCTTACTGATGTTTTTAATGTTGCCAGGATTTGGAGTCTGGCGTCATTAAGAGCAAGTTACGAAGCCCTTCTTTATCTGAAGCCGTGTTTCTTTGGGTCCTAAAAGACCTTGGTTTATGGAGGAAGTAAGAGTGTTTCTTTGGGTCCTAAAAGACCTTGATTTATGGAGGAAGTAAAGTTACATTTCTAATCTGAACATCCACTTCCAGAACCTCCAGTACGAATTGTGTCCCCGAGCCAGTCACAAATGGAACTTTGCCAACAAGCCTCTGAGAGGATGGTACTGAGCTGTGAGATCTCACGGCCCAATGCGGTGGTTCGTTGGTATCGCGATGGACTTGAGGTAGAGGAGAACGACAACCTGATTCTAGAAGTGGACGGTGTCTACAGACGATTGATCATACCTGAAACCACCGTCAAGGATTCTGCAGAATATGTTTGTGACACGGCAGACGATTCTGTCACTTTCTTCGTGAACATAGCAGGTAACTCCGACCGAAGTACTTTTGAAAGTGTTGCTGTGATACTTGCCGATGTCTGACACTAGATCGTTAATCGCAGAGCCTCCTGTTCGCTTCCTACGCCCGAGAAAGACGGCCAGCAGAGTAGAGAAGGAGGTTGGGGAGAGGCTGGTGCTGGACTGTGAAGTTTCACGATCAAATGCCGAGGTGACCTGGAAGAAAAATGGTGAAGAAGTGGAAGATTCCAGAAACGTTACCATCATTGAAGATGGTGCAGTGAGACAGTTGACCATTCACTCGCTGACCGCGAGGGACGCTGGCCAGTACATCTGTGATGCCAAAGACGATGTGATGGATTTCCATGTAAAAGTAAAAGGTAAGTCGTTCAAGTGTGAAATCTCTAAAAGTCGGTAGTTCTGCACCAAGTACCACCTCCAAAATTATTTGTCCCTTCAAGTACCACCAGTATGACCGACATTTAAGTACAACAACTCGGACCTACACTGTTCAGCTAAGACCAGTGTAACCAGTATTCCCCCTGTATCACTAGAAGTAGCTCAAGTGCCACCAATAGTACCTAATTTCAGAGAAACAGGTTTTTCATTTCTCACCTGTAAATTATTTCAATCTCTCTGGTTTCTTATGTCAGAGTTGCCAGTAAAAATCCTTGGGAAAACTGAGGCAAAAACACAAAAGGAGTTCTTAGTGTCAGATGACATCATTCTTGTGTGTGAGCTCTCAAGACCCAGTGTTACAGTCAGTTGGTACAAAGACAATCAGGTTATTGATGACGCTGAGCGGTACTGTATTGAGGAGCAAGGGGTCTTCCGCTCTCTGGTTGTGCTAAATGCTGGGCTCCAGGACTCGGGAGAGTACATTTGCAATGCAGTGGATGATAAGATGGTCTTCTATATCACAGTCAAAGGTAATCATATTGAGCCACTGCAATGTTAATCCAGCTTCCCTTGTAAATAAAAATAAAACTACAGCCAGCGCTCTCTTCCACACTCAGAGCCTCCAGTACAGATTATTGGAAACTCGGGAAATCCAGAGCACCACATCCTGGCAGCAGGAGACGACCTTATTTTGGAGTGCGAGGTGTCACGGCCAAATGCCACGGTTCAGTGGTTATGGAACAGAGATATACTGAAACCAAATCCTCGGATCAAAATCTTCAGCTGTGACGTTGTCAGGAAGCTCATTGTCTCTGGACTCCAACCATCGGACTCTGGAAAATACATTTGTAATGCCGGAGATGACCAGCTGGTAACCATCGTTGAAGTTCAAGGTGCGTTTGTACACACTGCACAGGCTGAGGTGGAGTTTTATTTCAGGTAACCATCGTTGAAGTTCAAGGTGCGGTTGTACACACTGCACAGGTGGAGCTGGAGTTTGATTTCAAATCTCTTGAATGATCTGTTTTGTTTTTTTTTTTGCTGCAGAGCCTCCAGCCAAGTTTATGAACAAAAACGACAACAAAAAGATCACAGCCCACGAAAACGAGAGCGTGACGCTGTGCGCCGTAGTTAGCAGTGAAAGAGCAAACGTCCGGTGGCTCAGGGGAGAAGCGCCGCTTGAACCAGGACAACATCCACATTTCCAGTGAGGGTAAAACCCACAAGCTCACCATTAACCCCCTGCAGCTGTTCGATTCAGGAGAATACGTCTGTGACGTAATCACCGACAGAATGAGTTTCAGTCTTTTAGTCAAAGGTAATGAATTCAGTTGCATCAAATGTATTTGTTTTAATATGCCAGGTGACAATCTCAGTACTATCTCTTGTCTTGATTCGAACAGAAATGAAGGTGAAATTCCTCAGACCACTGGAGAACACCGTCTGCCTCAGGGGCGGCAGCCTCACACTCCGCTGTGAGATCAACAAACCCAAAGGAGACGTGCAGTGGCTAAAGAACGGTCAAGAGATCCCCGCAGCCCGTCGACATACAATACTGGCGCAGGGTCGAGAAAGAACCTTCACGATTCACCAGGTGGCTGAAGGCGATGCCGGGGAGTACGCCTGTGAATCCACAGACGACAGGACGTCAGCCACTGTCCGCGTAGAAGGTTTGTCCAAATCGTACGACTCCCCAAACTAACATGACAGATCAACGACATCATCCTGACTAACTCAGCTGATTTGCCTACAGCTCCACGTGTGGTCGAGTTTGTTGCAGAGCTGCGTAACATCACGGTCCAGGAAGGAGAGGACGCGGTGTTTAAATGTGTGGTTTCTCCAGAGGACGCTCGGCTGCTGTGGCGTCTGAACGACAGACCGGTGGCTCTGAATGAACGAGCCGTTATTTCAAGTAACGGCCTGTGCCACATGCTCTGCATCCACAACTGCCTGGTCTCAGATAGCGGCCGAGTGACAGCAGAGGCGGAGGGCGTGGTGTCTGAGGCTGAACTTCAGGTACAAGGTGAGTCCTGGTCCCTTCCATTAACACCTAAAAACCATGGTCTCTAATCACAACCTAATAGCAGCTGCTTTTAGCTGTATGTCATTACCATTGCCAAACCTTGCATTGCATTATCGGGTATTTATTATCGGAGGAAAAACTAATAACAATTCTTAGAGATATATACATATTATGCTAATATCAGGCATCCCTAATAAAAACCCACGTTGTACTGCTTTGAAGTATATCAGGCATCCCTAATAAAAACCCACATTGTACTGCTTTGAATTTCTGAACCTCTCAGAGGAACAGGTGCTGTTCACCCAGAAAATGAAATCAGTCACTGCTGCCGAGTACAGCGAGGTGACGCTTCAGGTGGAACTGAGTGTGGAATCCACGGAGGTGCAGTGGATGAGGCAGGGGGTTCTGATCCACGACGGAACCAAGTACAGTCTGAAACACCAGGGCCGGACACACAGCCTCACCGTACACGACGTGGCCATGTCTGACTGCGGGACCTACAGCTGTGAAACCCTTCACGACCGCACGCAGGCCCAGCTGGCAGTGGAACGTGAGTGTTCCCCTGAGGCCCGTTCTTATTTGTTTACTGCTGTTGGGCCTCCATTAGTACTTATGACGGCAGCGCTCAATTAACTGAGTAGGAGTAATTTGAGTGACGGGGGAGTCAGGATGACATTTGTTACTGGACCAGAAGGTCTCCAACAGGTGACGGCTTTAGAGCTGGAGCTGACACTCACACCCGGGTCTGTGGTGACCTTAGATTCAGATTCACCTTATTGAGAAATAAAATGAAACAATACGAAAACATTGAAAACATCGATCGAAGTTCAACGGTCGACGCAGTGAAACCTGTGAGGTGTTTTTTTTGTTTCTTTCTTTCTTTTTCATCCTACCAGCCCGAGGCCAGTGGCTGAATTAAAGGCTGTTCTTTCAACACTGGTGTGGGTGGGAAGGGGAACGCCGGGACACCAGGCGGCCACTGGCACCTCCTATGAATTTGGATCTCCTCCTATTGCATCTAAATTTATACCTTGGCCTTCAAAACCGAGGTTGTTGTCATCAGGTCTCTAAAATAAACAGTCCTTTTTTCCACAGGGAGCGCATATCTGCATTAGAATAAGTGAAAAATGTTGGCAGTTTCAAAGCTGGCTTTTGTATTAAGCCCCCCGTACTCAAATGACTGAAACATCCCTCCCCCCACCCCGTCAATGTGTGCCAGCTTAAATTGTTGATCTCTAGGCTGCTGTGAACCAAACAGTCTCCGAGTCCATTCTATGACGGAACATTTAACCCATGACTGCTGGGTAAAAAGTGACAAGAACCAGACGACTTCCCACAAGGAACAAATTTAAAGTGCAATAAAAAAACAAACAAACTCTGCAGTATTATTTACTTTACATATACTGTACTAAGTATGTACTATACTAAGACACAGCTGGGATTCTCATCTTAATCCTACTCATCAGGTACTTTTTTTTTCTTTTTCTTTCTTCAAAAGCACGAAGAGTCACCATCACGAAGGGTCTGAGTGACATCAAAACCATAGAGAGAGAAACGGCCTCCTTTGAAGTGGAGCTCTCCCACCCCAATGTCCCAGGAACCTGGTTAAGGAACGGAGTCAAGCTCAAGCCGTCCAGTCACTACCGCATGAGCGCCAAAGGACAAACCCACAGCCTGACCGTCTCCAACCTTTCAGTGGACGACACCGGTACTTTTACGTTCTCTGCGGAGGACGAGAAAACCTCTGCCAGGCTGGTGGTGAAAGGTGGGTGACTGACTGCAGTCGTTTTACCCATAATCCTCAGGAATATTAACAGAATTCCCAAGCCCTAAGTCCGTCACATCGATGACGATCACGTCCAATAATTAAGAGTCATATTTTCGTTCTTTGCTCACACATACTGCAGCGCTGCACCGACAACTGTGAACGCTACTAATTCTGCTGTAACCTTAGAGCCGTAGCTTAAGTGCTGCACTCAGACCAGACTGAATACCAGCCGCCGCGGCACGATAATAGAACCAGCAACAGTGCTGCTACTGTTCTCTTCATCTGGGCTCATGTTCCACGCATGACCTTAGCATGACTCCAAGAAAAGTGTTAGCTATCTTTTTATCTGCTCCGAAGTCCTACTGTAAAATAATCCAAAGTCAGCCTGAAGGTGTCGCCCCCTGGAGGCTGAAACACTGAGACGACTGTGTCATTGTTTTTCATTGTCCCTACACCAGTCAGGACTCGTTTTAGTCGCGGGTGAGAACTTTTGTTGAAGAGAACGTCTGTAGGGTCTTAGGATACGGTTCTGTGTTCCTCTGTTAATCCAGACTCTCACAGGGAATAACGAAACCAGGATTATGGTTACCAAAGACACATTTGATCAAACTGGATCTAGATTAGATAGCGTAAACTAGGTACCTTCTGTTTGTTTGTTTGTTTGTTTGTTTTTTCCCAGAACCCCCGGTGACTATTTTCAGAAAACTGGAGGATCGTAAATTTCCAGAAGGAGCATCGATCTCTCTGGAGTGCGAGCTGTCGCGACACAACGTTGATGTCAAGTGGTCCCAGGTCAGTACTGGACTGTTGTACCTTGATCCAAACTATCTGTGATGATTTAATTGATCAAAGTCAATGCTGGAGTTCTGAGAACCTTCACGGAAAGAACTGACTTTTTACAAATGATTACTCATCTCAGAACGGAGTGGAGCTGAAGCCCAGCAGAGAGGTCCGCATTTACGCCATGGGACGGAAACGATTTCTTCATATCACCAAATGTAACGTCGGTCACTCGGGCAAGTTCACCTGTGACGCTGGAGATGTCGCTACTTCCTGCACAGTGGAGGTCTACGGTAAGGTTAAACATCTGAACGTGGTTAAAGATAAGGGTCCTGGTGTGGCGTTAACAGATAAATCTTTATCGTTGTGCTACGGCAGAGCGTGAGCTCCTGATCCTTCAGGCTCTGGAGGATCTGGACATCCAGGAAGACCAGAACGCCGTGTTCGTCTGTGAGATCTCAGTGGACGACGTTCTAGGAGAGTGGTACAAGAACGGGGAGAGGATCCAACCCACCAGCACCGTCAAGATCCGTCAGGAAGGTCAGTGTTTCCAGTCATAGGACTGCACGTTTCTGCTCAGCAGTAAATATATTTCCAACAGGATCCAATATTGTGGAAAGGTATATTTTGTTTGTTCATCATCTCCTGGATTTCAGGGACCAAACATTTTCTGCTCATGTGCAACGTTCGACCAGAGGACTCTGGAGAAATCAAATTTGTCGCCAGACACATCGAATCTGTCTCTTATTTGTACGTGGAAGGTACAAAGAATATATATATTATATATGTCCCCTACGTATTTCTTGGCAATGTACGATGGGAAAGAACATTTTTTCCTCCATCTTCTTCCAGAGATCCCTGCCAGTATCGTGAAACCTCTGCAGGACAAGACGGTTCTAGAGAAGACCCGTGTGATCCTGGACTGCTCCGTCTCCAACTCCCGCTGTAGCATCCGCTGGTATAAAGGAAGTAACGTCATTCTGCCCTCCGAGCGCTTCGAGATCAGCAGCGAAGGCTGTTACCGCAAACTCATCATCCAGCAGGTGGTGCTGGAGGACGAGGGCACGTACAGTGTCCAGGTGGGGGAGCACAGCTGCTCAGCCAAGCTCACCGTGGAAGGTGAGTACACGACGAGAAGCATTTGCGTATTTATCAACAGCACAATAAATGTTCTATTGTACAAAATGCAGGATGACCTTTAACCTATGTTTGGCTTCATGTAACCATGGCAACAGCTGAGCAGTGGGGGACAAATGGTGGGAGTTTCTTTGTTATTATTATTATTATTGTTGTTATTGATTTTAAGTCATGTTCACTGTTTGAGATGGACGATGGAAATTTATGGCAACCCAGGCTCCAAAAAATACACTTTTAGAAAACGATATTCAAAGTTCCCGTGAAAATACACATTTGGGCTAGTTAAACTGGGACCAGATGAGGGCGCTGTACTCACCACAGTTTTTTATTGGCTGAACTCCAGGCTGCTCTTCATCAGATGGATGGCTCTTCCTCAGACTTCTACAAAACATAAATAAAAACACCAGACATTTAACCTTCATTTTACCGGGACTTCCTGTGAGATAATAACCAGAGGATGTAGTCACATATATTTAGAAGCACAATCACATTACGGCCCTCAGAGCCTGGACCACTGTCCTGCCCGTGCACTGCGATCATATGTAACTCAACACTGCCATCTAGTGGGTGTAGGGAGACATTACAGCCTATTTATATATAACTCAACACTGCCATCTAGTGGGTGTGGGAAGACATTACAGTCTTTTTTTTTTTTTTTTTTTTAGCTTTTGTCACAGTTAGCCATTTTTACGCCTAGTACCAAAAAACAACAATAATGATTAATAATATCTAATAACTTTGATTAATACTTTGTATTACATTGTGAAAAGTCCGCAATAGTTACAATTAAAACTAGTGGTGAAACACTGACATCTACCTGCGGATGTTTGTCTTTCTGTTCCAGCCTTACAGTCCGTGCTGATGGTCAGAGAGCTGACAGACGTGGAGGTCTTGGCCCCCGATGACGCCACCTTTGAATGTGAGCTGTCCGCCCCTGTGGTCAAAGCTCCGGTGTGGACTCTGAAAGGTGAACTCCTGCAGGCCAGCTCCAGGGTCCGGCTGGAGAAGATGGGCACCGTCCACCGGCTAACGCTGAGACAGACGTCCACAGACATGAGTGGAGAGGTGGAGTTCATCTGTGGGAAGACGAGGAGCAGAGCTGGGCTCCAGGTGAAGGAAGAAGTGGCTTTGTTTTTGTCTTCAGTTTGTATTTCTAATTTAATTTCCTTTGAAACAAACTCCAAAACAAATCTAAACTTTTAGCATACACTTTCCTACACCAAAATTGTGTAGTGATATTTTTTAATAGTCTAAATGTGTACTATGTTATTTGAATGAACCACCATTCAATTCCAAAATGTACCACTAGATGGCAGGAGCGAATAAGTCTACAGTTTATAGGTCCACCGGTCTAAGGAGCTACAACTAATAGTGAATACATATAATAGAAATTAAATTAAATCTATCAATTTATTTTATTATTTAAAAAATTTATCATTTTCATAATTGTTTGAAATAATGTATGTAATATACTGTCATTAAATTAGATAACTATTATAATCCATTTAAATAAAATAATACATATTTTATTACATTTAATAAAAAATATAATATCCACCATTTTAATATTTTTCATAATTAACGATTTATATAATTTATGTAAAATTAATGTGTTTTTAATACAACTTACTTGAGAAAACTTGTTCACATAAAAGGGAACCCATGGTGGTTTGACCTCTGGTGGCTTCCAGAAGTACTACAAGAGAGGAAATACAGAAAGTTTTGGTTGATTAGAATTTTTTATATTCTTTATGATTTTCTCATTACTTGTATGTTTAACTTAAAACAACGGAGATATTAATCTGTGTATTTCTTTAGTAGCATAATGTTTAATAGATATTAATCTGTGTATTTCTTTAGTAACATAATATTTAATACTTAAAATATGAATATTTATATACTTAAAAATACGTATGTTTATATATGGCAGTAGCCCCCCCCCCACCCGATCCTCCTCAACGTGTCCTATCTTTGACCATATATTCGCAGCATCTCTCTGCGTGAACACGTCAGGAAACGTTTTTGGCAGTACTTTCTCAGATACAAAGGGTGTTTACCGTGACACACTCTTTGCACGCATGCGGGGGCCACACCTCTCCTCACAGGTCGGCTGCTGAGCTCTCTGAATATGTGGCAGAGCGTAATCTATTTTTAGTTTTATGATGTTGGCTTCAAACCAGCCGGGATTATATTCCGTCATCTGGCTTTGGTCATGAGGCCGTTATAAATTCAGTAAATATTAGGGTGTCAGGATTTATATCCGGGAGCAGCACAGAATATAACGACTAATTAAAAGTGGATGTTGACTTTAAATGGAGTCACTGGGCCCAGAGTGTGTGCTGAGTAAGACGCGCACGGACGTGGATGAAATAAAAAGAAGTAGGGGCCGCCATGTTGTACCAGTGGAGTCACCGATTTTTATAAATGAAACCTAAACCTGAAGAACTGCTGCGTCTCTACAGTCTACTGTAAATGTCTCTGTATTTTAATAACACGTTCACAGCCAATCAGCAGTCATTATGTGGAGTTTGATTATTTTAGTTCAATGTGGAAAAAGAAATGTAATTTTTCTACACATCTAAAAACTCAATTCATCTTCAGCTCCATCTATTCACAGTTGTGGGGTCCCACATTTCTGCGAGGGTGGGTTCACATCCTGGACCGCACGACCACAGGGTGACATACGTATAAAGACAACTATTCACACTCACATTCACACCTACAGTCGCTCTAGTGTAAACAGGAAACTTGATCTTGCATTGATGTTTGGACTGTGAGAAAACAGCAATATCAGGAAAAAAAAGGCCGTCACTCATCACTGGGATTGAACACATGACCTTTTTTTCTGTAAGGCAAAAGGAGCAGCCACTCATCCACTAAGCTGCATAGTTTTTGTGACATAATGACAGCATCTTTAGTGTGACTGTTTTTTAAAAATATTTTATGCTGAAGTGTAATTTTGCAGGAGCAGATGCAATACAAACAACATCCTCTTGGGGAACAAATCTATTATTTTATCAATTAAAAACAGCAGAAATGTAACCTGTGTCCAACAGTACACACGTTGGTGCTGACTCTGTTTCTCTGCTCACTCTTCACAGGTGACCTCTGAGTGAGTGACCTCTGACCCCTGTTCTGTTTTACGGACGGATGCCGGTTTGATGCTCGGTGACGTTGCTTACATTTCTGCACACACTCCACAGTTGTGGTTCAAACAGGGTTCCTGATGAATTGTCAGTCGAGTTAGAACTTTCTCACTAACTCTCCTTCATGTTAACGTGTTGTTGTCTTTTCTTTCTTTGTGCCATCGTTTGATGCCGTTTCTTAACGACGACTTAAAAATGCGTTTGTTTTTGTAAATAATGACGAGTGCGGACGTGACGTCACATTAACCCGTTTGCAGATTATTTAGAGTAATAAGTACAAGTTGAACCTTCTCCGGTATTTATTTATTTATACTTTACACATATAGTACTCCGCAAAACCGTTACCGTAATTGCTTTAATAAATTTACTTTATGAGATTTTCTTTCCTGCATGTTTTACTTTTTCATGTATTTAAAGAAAATGTATTTTAAAAAAAATAGCAGATCATTCTTAACAACGTCAAACACCCAGACCACAGGTTGGACCACACGGCCACTGACAGCTGTGCCGTGCTCTGTGGGACACCCACCCTGCCGGTCTTGTTTAGTGAGGTCAGAGGGTTTGTTTCCCAGCCACAGGGAGGCAGCGCCACCTGTGATAACTTGTAGTGATGGAGCTAAAAAAACTACATTAGAAATTACACTTTGATAAAAAAAAAATAGAATCTATTATTTATTTATTTTTCCTGTATATTTTCCAAAACTTTATGTTCAAACAGTCTTAAATGCGGCCTGTGTCAAGTGTTCGAACATGAACTTCAAACGTCAACCGTTACAGACTTTATACCGTTAATACTCACGTGATGCCGTTGTCGTTATGAAGTCACGTATCCGGGAAAAAGTTAAGTGTCACTGAAGCCTCGTTTCTTCTTCTTTTCGTCTATAGTAACTTACTAAATAGTTGCTTCGAACGCCACTGTCACCAAGTGAGTGTTAGCATGGTTAGTTAGCCAAACATCCGTTAGAGGGCAGTGCAGTGTTCGGTGTTCATATTCGGCCAAACATGAGTTTTCTCGAACGATAACGAACATGGTGGCGGTGGTGGAAACGTTCCTGCTCAGAAAGACGTCCGAACGCCCGTGTGGACAAAAACCCCAGAGCAGCAGGTGGACGGAGAAATCTCTTAGGTCCAAACCATTTTTCCGTTTCTTTTCTTCTTCGTGATAGTCATTTTTTGGGCGTACATCAACGAAACTGCACAACACTGCCCCCACGAGTTCAAGTCGTGCCGCTCCATTTCACACAATACGTATCCGTTAGCCGTGTGATTAGCATCGATCATGAACGAGGCTAAAGTAGTAGTTAGCATCCTACACAATAAATAAAATAAATAAATAGAGTTAGCATCGAACACGAACGAGGCTAAAGAAGTAGTTAGGATCCTACACAATAAATAAAAAATAAATAAATAAAGTTAGCATCGAACACGAACGAGGCTAAAGAGGTAGTTAGCATCAAGCACGAACGAGGCTATAGAATGATCTGGGGTTTTTTTTCATTTACGTTCCCTTTAAATATTTGAAAATAAACAGCTAAAATAGGCAGACATTTTAAATGTATTCACTTTTAGTACTTTTACAAAGTATTGTCCAGGTATTTTATTTCTACATAAAACAATAAAGTCTTCAAATACTGAAGTACACCAGGAAGTCAGACTAGAGTGTTACTGACTGTACAAAAGGACAAGTTTGAAAAAAAAAATAAAATAAAAACAGCAACCTGACATGTTAGCAGATGTGATACACATTTATATGAACATTAAATCATCATTTTCCATCATTTGTCAATTGTGTAGAACTGTTGTTATGTTTTGCTCAATTTAAAACATTGTGCAGGAAGGGCTTGTAATGTAAAAGCAGTGGGCCAAAACTGAAGTAGTTTATTTAAAAATAAAAAAACTGGAGAAAGGACGGACATGATCACCTTAGTAACCAGGTCGTGGTTGGACGTGTGTGACGAGTGGCTGTTTGATTTGAACCTGTTGGTGAATGAGTTGTTTTCATATGAATCTGTACCATATTCCAATTTTTTTTTTCATTTGACTTATATGTTGAGAAATAACATCGTTAAAAAAATGTCCTGTTTCAATAAAACATGCTTTATTGATGCAAAGTAGAAATATCTGTCTTTTTTTAACTTGTTAGTAGCAGCAAATTAAAACCTTATGGATATTTTTTTAATAACCATGTACTTAAAAATCCTGCAGACTCACACACGCCTCATGTGACTGTTAATAAACAAGGTTCAAATTCAAGTTTATTTCAAAACAAAGATTTTAAATCTTATGCTAAACCTATCTAAGAAAAACCACAAGAAAAATGTTTCACAATTTAACAATGTTACATATAAAACAAGAAAAACCACAAGAAAAATGTTTCACCATTTAACAATGTTACATATAAAACCTAAACAAAGTATCGGCCTAAAGTACTTGTGCAATGTACATAGAAAAAAAAACTTTATTATTTGTGCATCTTGTTCTTAAAGGGTTAACACTAGGGATGTAACGGTGTATTATGAATCAGTTTAAATCGATACAACGCGTGACACTTCACATTGGATATAATAAAATATGAATAGTGCATCGAGGCGTAAGGAGTATGCTACACTATCTCAAAAAGTCACTGGTCATACCATGACACTACACACTTTAGTACAGCAGGTGGCGGAATGCGCCTAAAAATGTTGGTTGTGACCGGAACAAAAAAAAGTCATGAATCATGTGCGCCTAAAAACGTTGGTTGTGACCGGAACAAAAACAAATCATGAATCATATTGTAGAGCAACTTGAGTGTATCGTTACATCCCTACTTAAAACTATTAATTAACCCTTTTGACCTGGACTACACATCCTTATACTGCATAGTGTATTTGTAGTTACTACACTACTGTGTATTTATAGTATCCTGAGGTAAAAGAACAACAGTTTTATACATGTTTACCACTTGGCATCAGTACAAGTTTACATTTACTACTGCAGTAGTAGTTGTGTAGTACTTGTACAGAAAGACTTGGTGTTAATTTCACCAAATGACTAACAGACCTTTAAAGGACCATTACTACTACGTGCCACACCACCTGGTGGTTTGTGCAACTTAGTTTGAGAACCCACCTGAATTCAATGATGTGATTTTTGTGTAGATTTTTTTTGAGTTTCTTCTAAACACTAACAGCTGCTCTGGTAAAGAAGTCCTTTAACCACCGACTCACAATCACTGACCAAAGGGAAAATCTGTGGGTGGAAATACAACAACCTTCTGCTGTGAAGCAGAAAAACCATTAATAAAAAAAAAAAGACAAGAAAACGAGACTCGAACACTTGACATCAGTTTTTTTTTTGCAGTATGGTCCTGGTAGGAGGAAGCAGTGAGAGGCCTGTGGCCCACCAGCCTCTGTGGCCCCGTGACGACAGATACGGTTACAGTCCCACCCCCGGTGCCATGGACCTGCTAACTCGAAGTCTTCCGCTGCTTGAGCATGTCGTAGATGTCGTCCATTTGGCTCAGGCTCTCGAAGAAAGGGATGAGGTCCAAGAGTTCAGTGTCGGACTGGTCATCGAACCAGGACTCCACGGCGATCTGGAGGATTTGAAGCAGCAGAACTCAGAGTCAGTTTTCATGTTTAGACATACTGACTCAAAGACAGAGGAATGTGAAAAAAACCATACGGCGTTTTCAGGATGGAAGACGTAGGAGGCGGGAGAGTTGTCGATGATGATGACCTTGTTCAGGTCTCGGCCCAAACGGCTCAGGTCTTTGACATAGTTCCCTTTATGGAAGACACACGACTCCCGGAAGAGGCGGCTCTGGAAGGCCCCGGATATATCCAGAAGGTCAGACACAGGGTCTGCATACTGAAATTTAAATATTTACATATATATTAAACAATTAATGACACGCATTATCAACAGTAGTTCAATTCTATATCATCTCAAAGATTTAGTATTTAATTATAAAATGAATTTTATTTTTTATAAGGAATTCCTTGTAATTAACCTTTAACCCTTTGTTTATAAGGTAACTGGAGACAAACCCTTTAATCGTCCAGTAATTTCCGTGTCTTAAAGCTACCGTAATTTCCAAACTATTGAGCGCGCCTGAATATAAGCCGCACCCACTACATTTAAGAATAAAAAAATAAATCCATAAATTAGCCGCAGCATTGTTTAAGTCGCAGGGTTCAAAGCGTGTGAAAAAACGCTCCGATCCCGACAGGTCCACCAGCTTCAGTTTTAACACCAGCGTCGTCTCAGCTGTTGTCATGGCAAAGTCACGTGTGAGGAAAGTCGGACAGTTATCACCGAGGCCACGCCTCCAGTAAACGGAGTAAATGTCAGAGGTGAAAAAAAAAAAAAAATCCATAAATTAGCCACAGCACTGTTTAAGTCGCAGGGTTCAAAGCGTGTGAAAAAACGCTCCGACCCCGACAGGTCCACCAGCTTCAGTTTTAACACCAGCGTCGTCTCAGCTGTTGTCATGGCAAAGTCACGTGTGAGGAAAGTCGGACAGTTATCACCGAGGCCACGCCTCCTACAGTCAGGTCAGAGCTGAGCTCCAGTAAACGGAGTAAATGTCAGAGGTGAAACGGTCGACCAGTTTGACTGACGTCGTAAATACTTCACCGTGTGTAAGAAGAAGGTCGCGATCAGAGTTTTACTGAGACTCCGGTCACTACGGTTTTTTTTTGTGACCCAGTTGACGTGTGAACTCGTAGCCTAACAAAAAGTGACAGATTGAGGGCAGGGGTCTGACCTTGGCCAGGCTGGCTGTGAACAACACACACTCAAAGAGTTCTCCCATTCTCCTGAGGAACTCGTCCACGTGGGGTCTCTTCAACACGTACACCTGTACACGGAGACACACAGGAGGAAACAGATGAAGGTCAGGAACGCTGTGACCAATCAGACGAGACCAGAAAGAACTTTCATCTTAGCAGTTCAGTTCAACACATGACCTCAATTATCATCAAATGAAATTGATGAAACTCATACTGAAAAGGTATTAAACTCTGCGGTTCTTCTGCTGTACACGGAAAGTACACAGAAAGTACACAGAAAGTACACAGGTTGTGTTTTATGCAGACTCCAGTCTGTAAGTCATAGCAACAGTGGAAATATTAAAATATATATCTACATGAAATATATGGACATATGTTTGAGGGATCGGTTGATTGATGTTGACTTGGTGGAAGGATACGTTTTGTGTAATGTTGTGATAAGGCCATGAGTTCTAATGAGGGTTCTGTTATTTAATTAAAGAAAGCAGCAGAGCGTGTTGATCCACGTCGACGTCCTACAGCAGGACATGGCCCACGTGGCCGTGCCGCAGCAGACCCATTGTTCAGTCTAATGCAACGCCACCTAAAGGCCTGAGATAAGAACTGCATGTCAGTGTGTGTTATTGAAGCCAAGTGGCCTGGATGAAACATGGATTAAAAAAACATTCCACACCATCAACTCCAACTTCACCATGTTGTTAACGACCTTGTTCTGAACCCAGTCGTCCAGAAAAGGCTTCCCTACTGAAGCAGCTCCATCCTGGATTAGTGGAAACAGAACCAGGTCCTTCAGACAGCACAGCCTCTATGTCTCTCTCTCGCTCTCTCTCACTCTCTCTCTCCCGGGAGGCCCAGCACAACAGATATGCGTTACCATTTACAGCCTGCAGGGTGAAGTCAGTGCCATTCCCTCAGAGCCACAGTGTGGGCACAACATACGCTGAGATTGATGGCCAGTGATTTCCGAGAAGCCGGACGGTGTTTGGTCATTTCGTCAGGCTGCTGAAATAGCCACCTGCTGCTCGGAGCCGTCAACAGACCGAGCCACGCGCTGTCAAGGCACCAGCACACACTGAGGCCTTTTCCTGTTGTTCTTCGTTTTCTTTTCCAACTCAACCACTTACAACTAAAATATACAACTGAACCGTGTCGACTTTAGAGTCTGATTGTGATAATGTGAAAATGTATGCAGCAAAATTTTTTTTGGAGACAAAGATCAAATCTCCCAGGACAACATTCGGGCGTCCTGTCTTTCTGAACACTTGCCAAAAGACAGGCCATCATTTTCAATGTGGAATTGTAAACACGGTGGAATCCATACCTGGTAAACACTTCCATCCAACTCCACTGGAATGATAAAATCAGGGTTGTCCACCGGCTGTGGGGAGAAAAACAAAAAAATCAATAGGTTTTAATGCACAGAAAAGTTCCCCTCCGTTTGATATGTAAGTCTTCGTGTGTGGGATTAAAGTCCTGGCAGTGAATCTGAGGTGATGATGGGTCAGATAGACGAGTAGACACCGCCTCAGCGTATTACAGTCACACAACACTGTCAATAATACCAGCCTGGTTATTGCCATCATTAAAATACGAACACTAAGGAAAGTGACAAGGGCTGTAAAATCTGTGATTTATTTTGGCAGTTGTCACGTCTACCATATTTCACTGAAAATGTATGAGCTACAGTACACGGTTGTACTGCATACTGTAGGGGGCTCCACATCACTGACTGTACTAGTCATCTGACTGTACTAGTTTTCCTACCTTTTTATTTGACAGTTAGCATCTGTTTATTGACAGATTAGTTCATAAATGAACAGGTTTTATAGTAGAACAGTATAGTAGTATAATAATATATTTAGTTATGAGGTGATTACTTTGTCAGGCAGTTTTTAAATGCAGGTATAATACATTGTTACTACTGTTTTTATGACAGTTTTTACTTTTTTGTGTGTCTATATTTTAATATATAAATGACTGTATTTCCTCCCTGACTTCTATGATTCCGTTCGTGCTTGGTGAGTCTAATAACTAACACGCTCTGTTGTCGAGCCGATGTCAAACATGAAGCTAACAGAGTCCGAGCCTGTTTACAAAGCCAGTACCGATATCCAGTGACATCGAGCTCAGCCGTCGGTGATCTGAGACGGACTCCACGTCGTCCGTTACATAATGAGTCTGGTCACAAGAGCCTTGACTCCTGGCATTGATCACTTTGTTAAATGTCACCTGAAAGGGTTTCAAACCCAACAAGAACAGGCTGCACTTTAGAACTGAAGTTACGGTAATGTTAGTTGCAAATTATTAAGTTAGTATTTTGTTTCCTCTTTAGCTGCTGCAGAAATAAAACCTCCTTTTAACACAGGATTTAATTACAGATTAAATAAATAAATGTAATAAAATAAAAGCAGTGGCAGAGGGAGTCCAACTTCCTTCCTGGAAAATAAGTGGTAAATTCTTTGTGGTCGTGTTTTTTTTTTTTTTTTAAACCATGAAATCTAATCCAGATTATTGTTATAGTATTTATTAATTTATTATTTTGTTG